CTTCCTCCACTTTACTGAAACTCTGTCTCCATAACAGCAGCTTAGACTTGAGATTGGCGGGTCAAAAATCAAAATGGAAGCAGTGGTTCCCGTAGAAGCTGTAAGCAACATCTGAACTCAGCCTGGTGATAGTTAAAGGAAAGGGAAGAAATTTGAAAAGTTTTCTAAAAGACATTCCTTATGACAGTTCATATCATAAATTTCACAGCCTTTGAATTTTAGACCCCAATAATAATCTGGTCCCTGCTCTACACAAGCTACCTTAAATTGAACATCACAAAAATACGTGGTGAAGTGTTGCCGACAGCATTGCTTGACTGTTTTTGCTGACCTACTTTACTCTTGCTTATTCACTACACCATGCATAGAAGATACAGAAACAGATACAATGCTCAATGACTGAAATCTCAAGTGATGCTGCCCTGAAGCTATTAACATCCTGTCACACTGTATTACGTCTCCATTCCCTTTCGTGTTCTATGCAGAATTCCAGGGTGAGATATTTGAGAGAGGTTCCAATGAACCCCATTAAGTTTGTACAGCAGTTATTTGGCAATAAATTCATTTACAATGTTTCACACATCTCGCTCGGTTGCACGTTGAGAATTGTTAAGGGGCATTTACTGCAGTGAGGAGATTTGAGGGAAACTGAATTCCTGGGACAACCTGCTCAACCATTCCTGAAAAAAATCCTTGTATTTGTTTTGCACCTTTCACACTAGGAGGAGGTTTCAAAGTCCATGATATGCTGCAAAGTGCAGTGACTGTATGTTTGATAGATAAAACAAAATGTCTGTCAAAATTCCTGTCAAACATACACATTTTGATTGCTCCACCAATCACTATGAGGCTGATTTTATATCAACACAAAAATATGTAATGTGCCTTTTTAAACGTTTTTTTTAACAAATAAAATATTTTGAAGGGGTAACCCTCCTTCTCGTCTCCATCTCCCTGGTTTGTAATAAATATGTGGATAAAATGCATCAGGAACACTCTCCAAATTGAACAAGTTAATACATAGACTGTGAGTAGAGATAGGGAAAGACTAAGAGGTACGGGAGGGGGGAAGGAGAGGTAAGCGGGGCCTCTTTGGAATTAAACTGGATGCTTGACAACGGAATGTCAAAATCGAGTCAACCTTCTATGATAGACTTGGTACTCCATTAGTCCTGTTGATAACAGACCAAACCGCCTGGAGACCAGGATTCTGAGCACTTGATTCCTGTGAATCCTGCAATAACCCTCCAAAACCCCAATTGGTAGTCTGGTCCTGGCTGGACAAACAGCAGGAAGCTTGTCAGAAAGTGCTCTCAGAAAGCTAAGTAATTTTAGCTGGTTAAACTCCAGCAGGGCACCAATGCTCACTCTGGCTTCTCCAAGCCTTGGCTCTTCCCAATCTGTACATACATTTTCCAGGAGGAGGTAAAACGGGTGCATCGGTCCTGAGAGAGATGTGCATTCTATTACAGACAAAGGGAAATTGCCAAACGCAGTATATATTGGAACTGTCTTGAAACTCCTTCCTCCACAAGCTGCAGATCATCCAGAACTCTGCAACCTGTGCTCTCTCCCACACCAGGCTCTGTGATCCTATCACCCCATCCTCACCCAACCGGCATCCCATCACTCAGAGGAAACAGTTGAAGATCCTAGTCCTCACCTTCAAGGAGCTCCATGGCCTTGCAACCCCTACCTCTGCGACCTCCTAACCCCCTACCACCCTGCCCGCTCCCTTCGCTCAGCGGGCTCTGGCCTGCTTCATGTCCCTGCTTTGCCCGCCCCACCATTAGGGGATGCCCCCGCCCTACAGAACTCCATCACACAGTCCTTCCACCTCGCCTGCTTTCTTGCGTCTTTCAAGACCCATCTCAAGACCCTCCTCTTCGACCTTGCCTTCGGTCAACGTCTTACCCCTACCCTCCCTGCCCTCCGCCCCTCCTGATCCCAACCACCATCTCGGATGTGGATCCCTGACTGTCCATGCCTTGGGACATGCTCCTGATATGAAAGGCGCTGTACAAATTTAAATTGTTGCTGCTGTTGTTGTTGTCTGGTTTGGACACCTTTAATCATAGTGATGAATTTCCATGTATGTCCGGCTGACCAAAATAAATTACCTGCCTGAATGCCTGCAGAGGGTACAAGAAACATCAAATCATACATTCCTGATCCCTGGACAAGACTCTGTACCAAAGAAAGAGCTAATCTCTGCCAACAAATAACACCTGTTAAATATAACAATCTATTTGTAAGGCCCCCATTGTTCTTGTCTAAGTTCCTAATACTTGAATTGCTCATGTAACCAGTAGTACAGTACTTGCAACTTGAAGCATGTAAATATTCTACAACACTGTTTAAATAACACATTTTATATGTCAAAAAGCAATTACTGGAAAAATACAACTAATATGTAATGTCATCTTCAATAGTCAGGCTCTTAAGATTAACCTTGCTCCTTGTCAAGTGGAAAACACTTTACATGGATGATACACAAATGAGTGCTCAATAATGCATTCAGAGAGTCTATAGTTTGAAAGTAAAACTGGTGGAATTATGATATTGGGTTCATTTGTCCCAAACCTTCTGCATTGCATCACTAAACACAGCTGAACTGTCTTCTGTGGATTGCCCCTGTAAAATTAAAGAACAGCTTCAAAAATAAAGTTATGAGCAAACACCAAAGGCTTAAAGTCAGGTTCCACCACTGTTAAGTGCTCTGAGATGCTACCCTGTGTGGAGGCTGCTATGTAAGTGCAAATTGTTTTTGTTGTTGCTGTTGCAATAGCTTCAGGGTTGGAAAGAGGACAAGAAATCCCCAAAATGAAGAAATAGGTGTTACATGATGGGAACAGGAGGGCGTGTCATTCAGCCCATCGAGTCTGGTTGTCAGTTTATTAGATCATGGAGGATCTTTTAATCGCATTTTCCCACCTTTTCTCCATGCCAGTAAATATCCTTATTTCTGTAATTTCTCACTTCCTTTTAAACATTCCAAAAGATTTTAGGGCCTTTTAGAGAAGTGCTTTTCACATGTGTGAGCACTGTATGAAGAATTGGTTTCATATCTAGTTTCTAAGCATCCTAGCTCTGATTTTAAGACAGTTGTTGAAGTTGAAACATTTAAAATGCAACTGGAAAAATAATATTAATGGATGTACAGTACAATATATATTAATTTAGTGTCTTTCATGATGGGAGGACATCTCAAAGTGCTTGACTCTCCTGGCTAGGGACCCGAGCTGGGATTGGGGGCAGTGGGATTTGAAGAAGGTCAGTGAAGAAAGATGACCAAAGCATGGTCAAAGAGGTACGTCTTGAGGTGGGCTTTGAACATGGAGTGGGATGAAGCGAGTCGGAAGGATGGATGGAGTTCCAGAGAGCGGGGCAAAATGGCTGAAATCTTAGCTGCCAATGGTGGGACTGATAATGTGGGGGACCTGAAGCATGTTGATTTGAATGTGATGAATGGAAAGGGATTAGAATGCGAAGCTCCAACAAGGGGAGCTAGCAGCAGCACAAACTTAATGGCCCTACTTCTGTGCTATACATATTCTGCGATCCCAAAGAAAATACTCAGAAAAAATTATTAAACGCTATCTCACAGGGTAATTATTGTGAGATAAAGGTAATTTTTTACTGGATAATGATATTGACAATTAGAAAATACCCCCCATAAAGTTACTTATTGGAGATTAAAATTTCCTTGCAATTGATTTCAGATGATTTTTCTGAAAACGTGGTGCAATTATATCAGCAGTGCCATTCATAATCTTTTGTATACATCACACTGCTAAACACAGTCATCCATAAAGAACAAAAAGATCTCTTTGGAAAAGGGTTACATCACTAAAGAAATGATTTGCTCAGTACATTCCACTTTTTTTTAAACATTGCTGTTGATGAAGAGCAAGCTATTGTTTACCAGTCATCACAAAAACTGCACCATGGCTGAAAAACAAAACTCACTGATCTCGTCTGCTAACATGACCTCACCCAGCTTCTGTGCACAGCAGCACAGCCAGGAATAAAAAAGATCATTAAACCTGACTTGCACAAATATGTACAAATAGAAATGCAGCGATTTTGAGGCTGTAAATTAATCCAATTCTGAAGCGCTATTTACAAAACCACTCTGTGTGCCTAGTCATTAATTATTGCATCCAAAGATTGCTTTGGATCAAGAAGTCACTTCAACGCAATTGGTTTAATTCTTCTAGAATTCTAACCTACCATCTTCGCGTTATAAACATCAAACTGGTTTGCAAATTAATCCAATGCCTCCATCAGCCTCCCTAGTAACCTACTCCAGCTAAAGCACATCAATGGTCAGAAATTCCGGGCAGTGTTGTGTAACACCTTTGTTCATTGATGGGATATTCTCCATTATAATTGCACATCACCAAAGGTGTAACATTTGCAAAACTGAGTAGAATTTCAACCCACATAATAATCCTTGCATTTGAAATACTTGCATTGAAATACTTCACAAAGTTTTCCATACAGTGCAGTGACTGTATTTGTAGTCGAATCCAGCAGTCAATGTTAACACAGGAATATCCCACAACTGGGGTATTGTTGGACAGGATACCATGAGGAATGTACTTCTCTCTTTGAGTAGTGCTACGGGATCTTTAATGCTCACCCGAATAGACACATAGAACCTCAGTTAAAAGCCTCATTCGAAGATTGGCATCTTTGGGAATCTAATGCTTTCCCAGCTCTGCACTGAAATGTTAGCCTACTCTTGGGAGGGTGGGGGGGTCGATAGAAGAGGAAGAACACTAACAAATGTGTCAGGCTGAAGGCTGATTTATAATCACTGCCTATAATCTCATTATTATTTCTGTAGACTATACGGAGCACGCTATCTGATATATTCAAAGTGATTGCTATCATCGGTGAGAATTATCATCCTCACATACAGAGGTTTATAAGGATAGAGTTCTTAAAAAGCAGCATCAACAACAAAAAGCAGTGAGGTAAATGCCAGGGCCTACTTTTCCTGAAGGGTTTGCTCCTCGGTGGTTTCCATGGCACATTCCAAGGAATTCTGCAGGGACTGAAGCTGGTTCACTGTTTCCTTCAGAAGAAACCGAGTCACAAACTGTTCCAGATTACAGGAATCCTCATAATCCTGCACAAGAACAAAGTAGATAAAATAAAGAACACGATTTATCCTGGAGTCTGGGCCAATAATCCCCCCAAATAAAGCTGTTCATTCGCTTTGTGGTTGTTTTTAAGCGCTCTGAGATGCTGCACTGCGTGGAGTGCGCTATATAAGTGCAAGTTGTTGTTATTTTTTGGATACGAGCTGCCACATTTGTCCACAAAATATCACCACACTTCTGTGAAACATTTTGATATGTCTGTACAACTAAAGGTCCTTTTTTTATTATAACACAATTAGAGTGATATGACACCAGTCTACAGCCTGGTCAATTTGTATCATTTGAAGCAACTGAGACCCTAAATTTCAGCCTGTAAGATTGTGTTATCTTAAAATTTAAGATGCAGAATTGCAGAAAATTCCTAAATTCAGATTTACTTGGGAAACTGGAGCATTTTTATACTTCTCAAAGAGAGAGGAAGGAACAAGTAATTACAGGTCTGTGACTTTAACACGAGTGGTAGGAAAATTACTTGAATCTGTTATTAGGGAGAGATTCGCTGAGCATCTGGATAAATATGCACAGATCAGAGAGAGTCAACAATGGTTTGTGAAGAGTAGATCATGTCTCACAAATCTAGTGGAGTTCTTTGACAGAGTTGCAGAAGTGATAGATGAAGATGGAATTGATGGATATAATCTATATTAATTTTTTTTAAGAAGATATTTGATAAAATACCATAAAATAGATTATAAGACAATATTAAGGCATAGAAAGCTGAAGGCAGGAAATTAGTTGGACAAATTTGTGGAGTCCTGTAACTCAGTGGTTAGAGACCTGAGTTTGATTCCCGGTAGGGCGAAATGTTGGGTAAGTTTCCTTACTCTGCAAGCCTCTGTTTACCTAGCAGAAAGTAGGAACCTGGTTGTTAGTCGATTGGTGGAACGCTTTTCTGGGGGTAATAATTCCTTCAAAAAAAATTATAAATTACTCACTTCAATCCACGACTGTTTGTGGGACACTGCTGTGTGCAATTGGCTGCTGTGATTTGCCCATAAAATATACAGTCAATTCACTTTACAGTGTATTCTGTGAAGCACTTTGAAACATTTTGAAGACATAATAATAATAATCCTTGCATTTGATATAGCGCTTTTCACGTCTTCTAGACGTCTCAAAGCGCTTCACAGAATATACTGTAAAGTGAATTGACTGTATATTTGTGGGCGAACGCGGCAGACAATTGCGCACAGCAGTGCCCCACAAACAGTCGTAGATTGAAAATGACCAATTTATTATTGTTTTTGGTTTTGGAGGGATTATTATTAGGCTCTGTGTGGAGTAAGGAAACTTGCCCAAGGTTTCGCCCTGCCTGGAATTGAACTCAGGTCTCTCGCTTGCAAAGCGAGTGCTCTAACCACTGAGCTACAGGACTCCACAAATGATAAGGCACTATATCAAATGCAAGGAATATTACAGAATTTTCTAAAAGGGCTGTTCTCTCCTTGACAGGCAGTGATAACTGGTGTAACAACAACAACTACTACTTGCATTTATACAGCACCCTTCACGCGGGGTAGCGTCCCAGAGCGCTTTCTGATGTACACCAATAATCAATGCTCTTTACCCTGTATATGAATAATTTGGACACAAGACACTTTTACACTTTTTAAAATGTTGGTGTTCTTATCATTTGTGTGTATAGGAATCTACAGCACAATGGAAGTGATGTCAGTGGTGTTTCCCTTACACAGCGCATATGTGCAACATGCAGTCAGTAATGTTGATAGTGACCTGATGATCTGGAGGCCAATGGACTGGCAGCCAGTCTTAATGTGCCCCATGATAATACAGAGTTTTCACTTTTGATATAGTGGCTTTCACATTAGTATGACCTCTCAAATAATACACTGTAAAGTGTCTGAGGTGTTTTTGCAGGCAAACACGGCAGCCAATTTTTCTAATTCTCCTACTCTCCTTTGATGGAGCACCATAGGCTGTGTGGCTGTTGAATGCTTGCCTTGCCCTTTGATATAGGCAGACTTCCTGCAAAGCTCTAGACATTCAATTCAGCAAAAACCTTGAAAAGCTTTGTGAGCTGCTAGGATGAAGATCCTTTGGGTAATGCCTCAGGCTCAATGGCTTGTGTAACATTACTTTGTCTGTTGCAAATGCATTCATCTTGGCAGCTTCTTTGGCTACACTGAGCCAAATACTTGATCTTTGAGTCTTTTAAATTGTTTATTACTTGATTTTTTGTTCTATTTCACAATATATTATTGGTTTCCCAGAGAATTTTATTTACTCAAACATATATTATGTGGATTCCTTAAATATACCAATATTTTATTTAAAAAAGAAAACATGATTTTGGGTTCATTTAATAAATAATCTGAAACAAAATCAAAGTCATTCCATTCAGCAGTATGTGGAAGGCAATACTTTATCCTGAATCAAAATCTATCTGGAATGCGAGATCTCTGACCTATACTTAACACAATAGTGTTATCTGTCAAAGTCTGGATCAATTACACACTGTCTGGCCCATTTCCTGATTTTTTTAAATAAGTGAATTAGAAATCAAAGACTGAGATTAACAGTTGTATTTATCTCTTGAGGGCTCACTTACTGCAATTATGTGCAGCAAACCACTATTGTTTAACCCTATTTAGTGCTGAAGTATTTTGCAGAACAATTTATGTCTGGAAATCCACAAAAGGATAGCTTCAAAAATACAGACTTTCATAATGTTAGATGCTGAAAATTGCAGCTCTTCTGCAGTCGAGAAGCCTGCTTTGAACACAATTGCTCTCATTTATCACAATGAAAGCTTCTGCCAGCATATTTGACTCAAGGCAGAGAAATTAAAGTGTTAGATTATCTAAGGAACACAGTGATTCAGGACACTGTACATAATAATAATAATAATAATAATAATAATAATAATCCTTGCATTTGATATAGCGCTTTTCACGTCGGGAGGATGTCCCAAAGCGCTTCACAGAACACACTGTAAAGTGAATTGACTGTATATTTGGGGGCGAACGCGGCAGCCAATTGCGCACAGCAATGTCCCACAAACAGTCACAGATTGAAAATGACCAATTTATTATTGTTTTTGGTTTTGGAGGGATTATTATTTAAAGTCTTGGTCAGGAATATGAATACATGAAGCTAATGCAAGGTTTCATCACCCTCTTTTATCTTTTTATTAACAATAAACATTTGTGTAATTAATGAACACATTGCATATTACAAGAATGCAAAGGATCATAACCCCGCTCATAGCCCTTCAGACCTCAACAATATACCATATGCATATTGATTCTGATTACTAATGTACACCAGAAACAGATGCTGGTCATGCCCAACTTAGTTGGTCGCACACTCGCCTCTGAGTCAGGAGTTTCTAGATTCAAGCCCCACTTAGGGACTTTGAGCTAATAATTTACGATGACACTCCAATGCAATGCTGAGGAATTGTTGGAGGTATATTCCTTTCGAACGCCAATTGAGAGAGATGTACAGATATAGTAGTAGAGATATTAGATATGACAAAAGAGGCATTGGGAATAAAGATCTATGAAGAGTTAATAAATTTGAGATTGAATGTTTTCCCAGATCCCTCTCAATCTTATATTTTAAGACATGGTTTTAAGACTAAGAATATAAAAAAGTGGATCTCCTAATTGCTGTTCTGAACTTTTAAGTAATTTAAATTGAATTAAAAGTGCATCTTTAAACTTGATGTGAAATGTTTTATTCAAAAATGTAATTTTATTAAAGTAAAGTAAATGTTGGTAATAGAGTTTAACCAATTTTCAGTTACCATCCTCTGAACATTAAGAGTAGCTTAAAGTTTCTTCAAAACCAGCCATACTCACTTAGGATTAATAATACTCTGCAATAGAAAGCATGGAAACAGACCATTTAGCTGAACTGGTTTGTGTCATGTTTATACTCCGTATGAGCTTCCACCTCTCCTATTCTCTTATCCTATATCCCGCTATTTCCTTCTTCCTCATTTTCAACAAGTTTTGTTTTAAATAAATTGAAATGATTCAGTAGGTTTATATTATTTCTGACTACTTTGACTGAAATGGTCTGCTTGTTTCCCATTCTGTTCTGATTATCATCCTCAGTCACTTTATGTTTTGCTTTGAGACAATCCTCTGTTCAGGCACTGACATTACCATTACATTATCATTATCAATTCAGTGGATTAGCAAAATCATCGTCTCCCTGGCTGGTAATACTTTGCCATAAATAATGGTAAGCATGAATGATTTATCTATTGGCACAAACTACCAATGTTATATCCCCTTTACACATGACTGCATTTTGTCAAAACTATGAATCATAAAGTTCTTAGTTCTTTTGTGTTTATTTTCAGATGTATAATTTAAAACCCAGTATGCAGTGTCTATAATAATCTTTGCATTTGGTATAATATTTGTCAAAACATCTCAAAGTACTTTCACAGTAAAGTGTAGTGACTGTATATTTGCGGACAAACATGGCAGCCAATTTGCACTCAGTAATATAATAATAATCCTTGCATTTGATATAGCGCTATATCTTCAAAACGTCTCAAAGCGCTTTACAGAATATACTGTAAAGTGAATTGACTGTATTTTATAGGCGAGTATTCCACAATCCCAATATTCCACAAACTGCCATAAAGAGAATAGACAATTTTATCAAGAGGATTGGATAAACTCCCTTCTTTTTTTGAATAGCGCCACGGGAACTTTAATGTCCATCTCAACAGATGGAAATGATTTTGGTTCAACAAATCCTCCAACATGCATTGGAGTATAGCCTACTACAGCCTACAAAGTCCCCAAATGAGGTTTGAACCCACCGCCTTCTGACTCAGAAACAAGAGTGCTACCAACTGAGACTGGCTAGCACCTAGTATTCTCTTACAAAATAGTCATTAAACTTTATAGTAATGCATGTGAAGTTCTTTGAGCTGTCCTTATATCCAGTGGAGTCCTGTAGCTCAGTGGTTAGAGCACTCGCT